AGCAGGACAGTAATTATTTAGAGGGGTTGTAAATAATTTTTTGATAGAATGAGTTAGAAGTGCCAAAGTGATATTGCTGGGTGGAAAAATAAGTCCCAGACAAATATTTTCACTTAGGAAGTATTTCGGTGCTCCAGTACTCTCACACTAATTGCATCCCCAACAGAGATTTCAGGTGTGAAGCCCTCTTGCTAGGCTTATTTATGTAGGGGCTTTTTACTATGCACATGTTGTTTGTTCCTATGGTTGACCCACTCTGCAGACCATTTCATGTCACTGCAATGATAATTGTCAAGCCAAGATTGGTGATCCCAATGTTTTGGGCTTGGTGGCAGAAAGAAGTGAGTCTGGTGGATGTCAAATCTGCAACACTGAGGCTTAGAGGCTGTTCAGAAGCTTTCCTGTTGATTTCACAGCATCTTAATGGCTTTACAAATAACCTTCAGAAATGATCTTTGAGCCTCTGAAAACTCAGAGCAGGCGTGAGTCCCGCTACACCAGCCTCTAGGAGCAGCATGAGCAGCAGTCACCAGCTGCTGGGCGAGGAACTGTACTGTTATCTTTCTCATTAGTCACGTAATTTCCATGCCTTCCATTGTTCTTCATTAGAAATTAGGAGAAAATTATGTTTACAAGTTGGCTCCTGTGGTGCTGCTTGCTGGGTATCTCGAGGTTTCCATCAAATATGGTTTAGGAGCAGGCAGCTCACCCTGTGAACCTTCCCACATCTGTCATGACTGTCTTCATAGTTGTGTCCCTGGGCATTCAGCTAAAACACAGAGATGGGAGCAAGCTGGGCCACTATGCCTGGACCGGCACTCAAATACAAGGCAGGTAAAAGCGCTGCTACTCCTTCGGCACTGATGGGCATTCTTGTTTCAAGCAAGCTCCAAGGGATAGTTTGCTGAATGGCACAGAGAATCCAACAGCACCAGCACTGAAGAGTCTGCAGAGCACAGACAGCAAGTGGGGTGGCTTGTGTTCTCCCCCACCTCCTGCTTTATTTATACAATGAGCAATTAATCTTTTGGCAAACTAGACATAGAAAGATGTCAAGTTTTCTCCCATCTCCCTGGTTTCTTGCCATTCAGAGAATGAATGAAGTTGAGGACAGATGAGACAGGAACAAGGACAGTCCCTGCACCTTTTAAAGTGAGTAACAAAGACCTGCTGGAGGTGTGAGACTTCCTTCAGAGGAAGCCCTGAGTCCTGCATACCATACCCATGTGTCTGGCTGCACTTGGCTCTCTAAGAGATAGAAATGGAAATATGGATGTGCGCCACACACAGCTGCTTACATTTGGCTGCCAGTTGACTGGCATGAAACCTGCAATCTGATGCAAAGAATGTGTGCCAAACCTGTGCAGTAAGTGTCCACAGAAGAGACACGTGTAAACATAAACGAAAATTGATGCAGGGCTTTCCCCTAAACAAGCACCCCTTAGGGATGGACCAATTTTGCCCATCTTAGATCTGTTTCTGGATCAGCATTTGGCATGGTTATTCCTGAAGGGAGAGTACATAGGACCTCCAAGCTACCCACTTGTTTATGGAGGTTCTGAAGTGCTCTTTGAGAAATGTGGGGCATTTGTGTGGTCACAGCCAGTATAGCATTGTTCAGAGTTTAAATAGCAGATGTCAGCCTCCAAAACTGCCAGATTGGCAACTGTCAAGAATACTAACAGATATAATAAAATGTAAAATCCACTCAAAGATGGGCTTTTTCTAGAGGAACTAAACATTAACTTTGTTTTCATATGGGAGACTGGGAGCTGAATTTTCTTGCTCCCCGCCCTCCACTGTGGCTTCCAGGCAGCTAGTGATGCCAGCCAAAGTGAGGGTGAGGTCGCGGAAGCCCGAATGGTTTGCAGGTAGATGTGGGATAGGAACCAGCTTTAGCAACCACTTTCGCTCCTCCTGATTTTCCGGTAGCTGAGGAACTTGTTCAGGACCCTATAAGGATATTGGGCTTGTCAGGTTTCTACACTAAACCTTCTCCTGACTTTTAGTCTGGAAGGTTATTGGTTTTACAGACAAGTTAAGATTTGGTGATGGCTAGCGCATTAGTTCACAAGAGGTGCCAACAATATCAAGCATGATTCATAAGGACAGCAGCATTTTGCCAGGTGTGAGCTCCTGCTTTCATTCCATGCTCAAAACCTTTCCTGGCAGTCTTTCCCCAAAGTGGAGGTGCGTAGCACTGAGGTCTGTAAGGCTTCAGAACTGACTGAGAGTGAACTGATTTTCCTTTTTGGTTTTTATTTTTAGCTCAGAGAGAGCTCCTCACCGTCACTTCTGCCTTAGACAAAGTCTTGGACTACTGCTAACCCATTTTTCTCTGGTTTTGTCACTGTAAGGCACTTGGGGTTCTTTAATACTGATGTGGCTTCATGATAACGGCAATGAAAACAAATTACCTCAAAAATAGGCAATAAGCCTTTTAGCTCTTTAGAGCAAATTAGAGCTATTCTGAACAGCCCAAAGACAAAAGGAATGGCTGTTCATCTTCATTTACAGTTACTGTGGAGAAGCACCAGCATGCAATTTCACTAGCCCAGGAGCAAGAGCTAAGGTAGTACTGGAGTCACACAGTTTGCTGCTAGGAGAGGAGAAATGAGGAGAAGCTTTCTCTTCCCCTCCACCACCAGCCCAGCCTTAGCCTCTGCAGCCACCTTGATATTTTTTCACTTGGAAGAGCTGGTCACCATAGATGACTGCATCACCTGCATTGTGACTGCTAGCTCTGCCACTGAACTGGTATAATAACAAGATAGATAGATAGAGGAAAGGATGGTTTTAAATGTTCACCAAACTGTCAACCAAATATTTAGATGCCTAGCATGTTAATATGTCCCTCCTAAAGTTGGGAATGTGAGGGAATCACCTGCCAGCATATGATGTGTCTTACAGGAGGTTTTAAATAGCTTCCTTTTTTCTCTTCCCACAAGAAATAGGATTTGTTGTTTTCTTCCAATGGGAAGAGCACAGAGTCCTTATCAGGGCATACCCAAGTGTCAACGGGCATTTGAGGTTTTCCCAGAGAGCTAATTTATATCTTGCTCTCCGTGTCAGATGTTCTCTTAATTATCAACAGGGAACACCACAAACGTGAGCAAAAGGCAAGCAAATATTACACACATCTTAGCAGAAGCTCAGAGGTCAGCTGAACATGCCACCATATCCTCTCAGAGAGAAACATGTCTTCAGTAATGGCCACGAACCTGTTTTACCACTCTTACATTGCGGTATATATCCATGGTGACATAATTGCTAGAGATGACAAAAAATTACACCTATATACACATTTTTATCATTTTGTCTCAGATTTTTCCCTTGCTCATAGATGCAGATAGAGAAATCCCTGCTAATCTGGGGAGGCACGTATGCAAAACCAGTTTATGTAAAAGCCTAACCAGTTCTGGCCCTGAGATTGTTTTCTTTTTGTTTTTGAACAGCAGTAGGGGAGAAATTAATGGTGCTATGTTTGTGTTAATATTTCTGTCATTGATATCGAACCCTGCAATTCGCTACTGTTTTCTGGTGAATTTGCTTCTCAGCAATACTTGCTTGGTAGAACCCTTCGGTTGTTTTATTTTCAGGTTTCATCTTGCTCACTCTCACTATTATAATCCTCTTGTGGGTCAAAAGCACTTTCTTCTCTGCCACTTCATAAATGCTTTCATCCAAAGTAAAATAGTCAGGAGGAAGAGGCACATATATTGGTAAGATAAAAGTAAACATTTAATGCCACTATAGTTTGATTTTTTTTCCAGACATCATATTTTTGACAATGTTTCACACCTCAGATACCACAAAAAGGATATTTTTTTAGCCAGCAAACAATAAACTTTACAATTTTAATGGCAAAAGGCTCAATGCATTTGTTGACCAACTTGGACATGGCTGTGACTTTCCACATTTTGAACTTGTCCTCATGCTGTTCTTTTTCTCCCCCAGCCCCCCACCCCCCATAAAATTTAGTTGATAAAATATATATATATCTACTACTGATACATCCTCTTCTGGAATTTCTGGCGGGACCAGCATAAGTTCTATATCCATCAGTTTGTCTCCTCCTTAGCCCTATTTTATACCACTGTCATAATGAGAAAAAACGTAGCCACAAACAGAATGAAATGGATTTAGCAAACATACACTTCAATGCATAGCACTTAGATAAGCATTTCCAACCATGATGTGTAAATAAATTATAAAATACAAGCAACTCTATAAAACAAGAACATCCTGAGTTTACAAATAAATTATATCCTTCATACATAGAATATGATGTGGATGTTTGTTAGTAACCAGCAGTTTCAGCTATGGGAGAGAAAGAATTATAACTTAGAAAAGTTAGTATCATCTATGCATACATAAAACATATATGTATGTGTGCTATATGTAAATACACACATACATATACAATATAGAGGGTGAATACATCCATATCTATAGTATATAGAGAATATGTAATATAGCTGAAACTGCTTCAAGCACCAATTTATTACCATTATTATAAAGTTTGCTCAATACTTAAGTAGGACCACTCAAAGTAAGATGGTTTGGGTTGCATTTTATTTCATATCCAGGTGGGTTTTGAAGGTGGTTTGAAATAGAGATGAATGTTACTACTTCACTTTCAGCACTTTCAGTCTTTGCAGAATCACCACGTTCTTTGTGAGCTTCAGAATGTTGCATAAGTAAGCACAAGCTTGCTGTCTATGAAGCTAGTGACAAAATCTATATTGACTTCAATGAGGTTAGGATAAGGGTGCTACATTTTCATGGGAAACTGATTTTTGTTTTTGAAAGCTTGCTGGAAGAGGAGAAAGAAGAAAAGATAAAGACAATAATAAAATGGTTTATTATTTCCAAGAGCACGTATGGAAACTTAGATAACCCTGGGATGAGCACACAATAAATGCAAGAGATAGAGATGATTAACTTTACTCTGACAAATCATTCACAGTTTTGTTTGCCATAGTTATTTGGAAACCTGTTTCAAATCTTGCAATAGCTTGCAACAGCCAGCCTTGTGTCTCCAAAAACTGCTGGCTGTCCCTGATACAAAATCCTATAGAGGAACAAAACAAAGACCATGAGGACATCAGGATTAAGCAAGGTATGTCACCCATCAGTGGATTTAAGAAATGGTACCTCTCTGTATGGTCATCTATCAGTATTTTGTGATATGAATGCTTTGATCTCTGCAGTGAGCTGGTGCACTCCTGATGCTGCACAACCATCTCTCCCATATGAACTGGCTTCAGAGGGTCACTCAGCCTCTGATTTATGAGAATCATATTTGCTTCTGCAATGCAGAATATTTACAATTTTAAAGCTGTTAGGACTAGGCAGAAAGCTGTATCTCATAGACAGCTCAGAGTACAGGCTTTCAACTGGTGTAACAATGCAGTATGTCTCATGTATAAATTGTAGAAATTGTTGCATTTAAAAAATACATGTATTTAATAAAATGTAGAAATTGTTTTATTTAACAGCTGGGTTGTAAAATATCTTGCCTTAAATTCCTGACATTGTGAAATATAGAGCAGTTCATTTGATCTACTTTTACAGGCTTTAATGTTTCAATGACATCCTCTACACGGGAACTGCAGCCAGTTGGCTTTGTAGGCCGAAGAACATGGGGGTAAAAAGGACATGTAGAAGAAGCCTTTGAAAGTGTTTCAAGCGTATGTTTTCCCTGTACTGTGGTGTAGGTCACCTTTTTGAATGCAAAGAGAAAGGTTCTGTAAGTTCTCCTTGGAGGAGGGAGGGAGAGTGATGTTGTTGCCATTTGTGAAAAGCTATGCCATCTCCCAACAATAATGTGTGAGGGGCTGTGTACATACACATTTGTCTGCATGCACATACACTTTATTTTTATGATTGATTGTTTTCAGCTCAGAATAAAAGACGCAACAAAATCATAAACATTTGTTAAAGATGATGTCTACATCCTTCAGCTGCCATAAAACTTGAATTCCATGCCACAGGTAGAAGTCGCTATTTTAAGACAAACCATATTACCAAGATAAACAAACAAAAAAAAGTAACAAAAAACCACTTCAAGATGAACTGAGTCTATCCTGTGAGCAAGCTTGAGACTTGATGTGCCTTACTCTCAGCACCAGCCCCAGCTTTCTGCCTCTATAACTAACTGCCATGTTTATAGATGAAAGAACAAAAATACCAGTGTGTATCTTTCTTTCATACTTTTCTGTACGTTATCTGCAGCTCTCACTTAGCTTGCTTCATGTCAGAGGATCATGCCACTGCTTTTGACCAGTTACTATTTCATGCAGCTGCAAGTTTCAGAAGTTAGGTTATATGGCAGTGGGAGTCTTCCAAGACTGGATCAAGGCCAGCAGATGTTCAGCGATAGCCCTGTGCGTAGCCCTTAATGAAAAGTGAGAGAGCATGGGGGGGTTATATATATAACTCAAATAGTTAAGAGGTGCATAATCTTCAGCTGTGTAACTAGCAGCACAGTAAATAAAAAGCAAATTGGCAGGGGAAAGAATTTTTCCATTCTCCTCACTGGGTTTACTCTGCTATAACTCTTCTGAAAACGCAATTGCGCCCCAGTTATACCAGCACAGGTGAGATGAGAACAGGCCCAATAAAGACTTACTTAAGAAAGAAGAGCCTGAATATGGTTTTGCTTCCTTGCCTTTCTATGAAATAGTACTTTCGATTGCTTAGATCTGACCGAGTTGACAACAAATTGTTCTGAAACAAATACAGGCATGATTAGCAGCAGAAAATATGCATGCTGTTGAGACAGAAACACCAGGAATTAGGGCTATCTCGCACTCTCTAGGCTATGAAGTGACCCAGCACCGAAAGTCAGCGGGTGTGTGAACAGTGGCTTTCTGCCTGCTGCAAGAGCTCACACAGACCAGTAGGATGTCTGAACCCAGATCACAGCCAAACTCTCCAACCTAAGGTTTTCCTTGAATTTGGAGCTATAAAGCAGCTTCTGTCCCTTGTATAAATAAGGTTCATGTATGCCAAGACAAGCAGTTCTCCAAATGAGGTCCAAACTGCCCCCAGCTGCCCACGAGCAAAGCAGTGGAGATGCAGTGGAGGTGCAGTGCAGAGCAGTGGTGGCATTGATTACATAGCCCGACAATAAAAAACTGTGATCTCCTGCTACATGAGCAAGCAAAGAATTAACCTTCAAACCTAATTATGTTAACATTGCTGTTTGCTACTAAAGCTGTCCAAGGGAAACAAGATTGATTTCTGAATATGCAAACGATTAACCATTACATTCACATTGCTCTTGCGTATTTTGGGCAACTTGATGACCTTTTAAAAAACTGGCAGTTGCTTAAAGAATGAGGCTTCATGGATGATTTGCAGAAGTGTGTGTGTCTTCTGTAAATGCTGGCTACTGTAGGCTAAAACCAATTTCATAGTAAGGTCCTGATGCTTTTAATTATCTCTTGGATATTTGAAGTACAATAATATAAATTCTGAAGTTCAAATCTATTTTCAACAAGAAAATATTTCATAAATGTCAAATCTCCACATATTTTCATTCCCTTTTATGCACTAAGCCACCACAATTTCTAAAAACATAGTGGCAAATTCTGAAATGCATCAACAGAAAGTCAAAAAAGAGAAGATGAGCATGGATTTTAAGATATGAATACTAGTATATGATGGGAGTGACAACGGCTACTCTAATTAAGACCTTGGAAATAAAATATTTGTAAGGACTGTGATTCTGCTCAGTTACTTCATAATTTTCAGAATGCTGAATTCAGCCTTGGCATAATCCACTTGTCTTCAGGAATCAGTTCTAGTCCATCACAATGAATAGGACAAACATATGCTCTTACTGTTTAAAATAATGGCTAGTTAGAGGCATTTTTTGCTATGTTTTCTAATCTACAGAGGTGCCAAATCTAGTGAATAATTGAGTTAATGATGCTGAGGAATATTACACATAATAGGTATTTTACAATAGCTCTGAAATATGTCCAGTTGATTTATAGAAATATCACCACTTCTGTATAAATCCCAGACTGTGTGAAAGGGCATCTCTTGTTAACAGTGCATTCTGTGCATACAGCATTTGTTAGGATTTTGCTTTCTATCAAGTGTATGTTTACTTTTACTGTACTGCTTGCCATTCACCATCTCACTGCAGGTCCCCAGGGAGCCCACCATGTTACTTTTGGGCTGCTTGTTTTCAGCAGAGGAAAGACAACGGTGCCCCAATTACTCAATGAACACCTTCCAGCAAACATTTTCAGAAATGGTTAAGCTTCAAGAAGGCAACATTTAATTTCATGTGCACAATTTAGGGGTAGGTGGGGGTATTCCTTGAATGTTGGGAAATGGCCTTGGAGATAGGCTTTGTACAGTGTCAGTGTCATATGTGAGAGTGGTACAGGCCTACCTGGGGACACAGGTGAGTGAGATGGGATCTGGCTTTGAAAGTCTCTCTTCTGTGTGTATGTGACCTGACAGCGTGTACCTGGGGCTCAACAGGACTAAGCCCACAAAGGCGCACTCCATATCCTAAAGGCATTAAGTCTTCATCCAGCACAAACCTGTTGGGGTAATTCCCATGGTTCTGCAGAGCTGTACTGAATTCATGGTGCTCTGTGGAGAAGAGACGGCCTCAACAGAGCCAGCACATAACAAGTGCTGTGAAATCATTATAATGAGAGACAAAGCTAGATAAATTGTGGTGTTTGCTGGTTTTCTTCATAAGTTTTTTTGCCTTGAGAGAGAAGAGGAGAGACATCAAACCTATATCTTTAATTCTTGCTTGGGATATAAGTTTCATGGTAGGAAAATGCTGTGGAATGGACTAGAAAGCAGTTGTCATCCAGGATATTTTTTCCTTCCAAATTATCCTACAGAAGGTAAGAAAGATCTTCAAAATCCAGTGAAAAAGCTAATAGAATGAGAAATATTTGTTATTACAAGTTGTAGAGTATTAAAAGAAAAATAAAATTATATAAATGTTATTTCTATCTTTAAAAAAAGCAACACAAAAAGTAAAAATTGGGGGTTGTGTTTCAGCTAGACACTAGAATGTCTATGGGTATTCTTGTTGGGTGATTTTTCCACTGGGACTTGCTGCTTAGGATAGTGTAAGAAAGATGGTATTAATATGATGGTCACATGAAAGAAGAGTTGCATTCAAGTACAGCAGTAAACTGGTACGTGCTGAGTATATGCTAAATGATGCTCTTATTTTCTCACAAGCAACAAAAAGGTAGCACAATTGTATGTGAGAGAGGAATTTGTGAAAAAGCTTATTTCAATATGGAAGAAGAAACCTAATTCAATAAAATAATTTCTTATGTTCATACATAATCCAAATGCAGATTTCAAGATTTCTTTAAGAAATACAAAGGAAGTTACTTCCCACATACTCTTTCATAAATAAAGAGCCAAACAAGTAGAATATTTGGATATGCATTGAGGTGCAGACCCTTGTCCTTTTGATATCAATGTGAATTTTGCCATAGCTTCAGTACTGGAGGGCTGGTAAAGAACATGCCATAGCCAACATGCCTGAAGTGCTATATCCCCTCACATGTGACTTCCACTTAGTTCCAGATGTACTGAGCTGAGCAGAGCCTGCAGTTCTCAGGTACGTCTGTGACTATGGACAGATTGGCTAGGGACCAAAGGCTGCCAAAACATGTTTTGCAGTGGTGTATGCCAAAAAGAGGCAAAGCGAAATTTTATCAGTCATGGTCTCAAGAAAGAAAGATAGGATAAATCACTAATTTTCAGACTGATAAGCATGGGATCCTTCAGCCTAAAGTGTAATTTTCCAGCAAGTTTTAGCACCAGAAAATAGGTTAGGATAAAAGTGCCTCCTCATTCATAACTCTAGCCACTATGAAGCTAAAAATACATGAAAATAAAAACCAAAAAGAAAACAATTGATGGGAGTTGGATCAAATAGAAAAGATATTTACTTCACAGTAATGTCACCTCTCCTCACTCACACACTGCAGAATCTACAGGTTGGGAAAATTACTGTGTCCTACAGCATGTAAGATAACAGAAGAACATATAAGCAAACTTTACTCACTGCTAGAAATATTTTTTGTGTCATGTAGGAAAGTTGCATTTCTCTTTGAG